CTTTTAAAATGGTGTCACGTTTTAGGTTTATTAGAAAACCCAGTGAGTGGACTACTCGACGGTTACACTTATCATGAGAGATTAGTAGGGTAATAAAAATCCGGACACTCGGATTAAAAAAAAATTAAAGAGATTTTATATTCTTCCTTTTTTATGTAGGAATAAAAAGAAGTCTGAAAAATATTTCCACTCCGTTGCTAAATACTGGTCTCTATTATAGTTATCTTATAATATGTTGAAGTTCAACATTATCCTTAATGATAATTGAGATGCTCATAAGTTAATTAGGTTCGGCTGCCAAAAGATGAACTAAGCATAATATATATGTGTGTGAACTAATATTATTTTAAAATTAATGCCCAAAAACTAAAATAATCGAGCCCGTGAGGGCATCTCCATTGAGGAGATGTTAGAGGGTTTTTAAAATATAAAATTATTAAAATTTGAGTAAAAGAAAGGAAGAGAGTGTTTTTTGTTGAAATAGTGGGATGTATTGAAATATAAAATTAATAAAATTTGAATAAAGAGAAAAGATAGTGGAAAGAGGGTATGTTTAGGTTGTATGGGAAGAAACTTTTGGAGTGTTTTTAGATGTGTTTAAATATAAAATTAATAAAAGTTGAGTAAAAGTATGAAAGAGAAAGTATAAAGTTGAGTAAAAAGAAAAGAGAGTGTTTTAATAATTTTATATTTTAAGAAACGTCTAAGAACCTTGGATGAAGATGGTCTGACACACACACAAAATTAAAAACTAAACTAATCGATCCAAAAACTATAAAAACTAATTAAAAAAAAGACGTTAAAACTTAAAAGTTACAAAACTGAAAGGCTCATATGCATTGCCACGTAGGAAAATAAAAACAACATCGTGAATACGACCAATTATAAAATCGTGAAGGGTGGATCAGGTGAGTAATAGTTTAAAATAAAGATTCATGGATTCTAATCTACAAGAACCGGAATATGAGATAAGACCTTTCGTGTTTGTTTTAATTCAATGGAAGAAGAAGCGTGTGACTAGATTGAAGGGGAAGAGGCAAAAGATGAGACATTCGTCCTAGTAATTTGTTACAATGTATTTTGCGTTTCTTCGTTTTACCCTCTTGTGGTTGTCAAGAGTTTTGAGTTTGAATCTGAATTTTTTTTTTTAATTGGACCAAATGGAAGTTATGTTATTTATTAAGATTTCTGTTTACTATATGGAAAATTCCAAATGGGTTCTCTATTGTAATCATCTTATTATATGTTTTTGGTAATGGAATTGCGTTTTCAAAATTTACCAAGTGATGGTGATTCACATAACAAGGTATTCTCATACTCATTTTTATATCAGAGCCAAGAAGAGGAGGATGTATGTCGTAAAAAAATAATCCATAACTCTAACGAAGTATGTCTGAAATTTAAGGGAAAATAAAAAAAGCAGTAAGAAAGAAAGAACAAACTCACAAGAGAGAAGTTCAAAAGTAAAATTATCAGACCTATTAAGGAGTCAACTTTCTCTTCCAAAGAAAAATAGTAAAAATGGCCTTCAACCAAAAATGACTCTCCTAAGACCCCTCAAAGAATATTACAAACGGAAGTACGTTTATTATCCACACATACCTATAAAATCAAACAAGGAAAACATTCCGACGAATTACAGTCCCAGTCCTGGAGTAGACGAATACCACCATGGGGAGATTGCGCGATTTCGATAGCTTTAATGGGCAGTCATTTCCCCAATAGTCTTAGTAGCCGCCCATCGGTGGCATTCCAAATGGCGGCATTCCTGGCATTCCGCCCATCGGTGGTGGCGGACCATAACCGCCTCCCATCCCTGATGGACCTCCTCCCATTCCTGGCATCGGTGGAGCAGGTAGAGCCAGTGGCAATAACTGGGCGTACATGTTCTGTTTTGAAAACAAAAGCGAGACATAAGTGTGTGTTTTTCGATTTGTTTATAAGCATTGTGTAGCTGTGTCAGTAGTACCTGTTGGGACATGACATCCTTCTCTTCCTGCTCTTTGGCCTTCACTTCTTTTTGTGCCTCTATCTTGTCCTTGATTAGTTCATCCACTTTGCCAGAGTATTCTCGGATAAACTGCAAAATAAAAAGGGAGAAAGAGAGTTGATCATATATAGCGTTTATACGGTAGCTATCTCGTTTGCAGGATTTGGAGGATAAATCACCTGGAGGAGATACGGGAAGGCAAAGTCGATCATGTTGTTGATCCAAGCAAGTTCTAGAGCAACGTCTGGTCGGATTAAGTCATAACAGACAAAGAGACATGTAGCAAAGCATTCCTTTTTCCCCTGTATAATGAATAAATGCGACAAAGAACAAAAGGGATTTTTAATTTCATCTTCTGTTTTACCTTATTATACCAAAACGCTTGTGAATCAATAAATGGCTTTTGATGTAATCGTGCATGAAACACATATATACCTGTTCAATGAAGTAAACCAGAAGTTGTTCTGCAAGGTCATGGTCGCCGGATTGTGAAGCAGTTTCCATACAGTCCTTGTACATGTTGTCTTTCTTTGACAAAGCAATTGATTGCTTCCATCTACCAGCTTTCTTGTAGATATACGCAGCCACACGTCTCATTTCGACAAGCTCGTGTTTCTCAATCTGTTCACACCATTCACGTGAAGATTGGTTAGAATACAAGGGAAGCTTTAATATGTATACTCGATAGACAGATTTAAATTGTTACCTTCTGAGCGAGGCCTATCTGGTCAAAACTGTCATGCAAATCGATGGACTCGCGCAACCTGTCATAGTCTTCTTCTTCTACGTATATCTCATTCAGAGCTTCATTTACTGCAGAAACATTGTTGCTCTGAACTGCAACCATGTACGGCTTGATAAGGCGCAAGTGACCAGCCTGCGATCAGGAAGAAATATATCATCAAAATTCGATCATTAAGCCACTGCTGATAAGTTTTAAGGGAAAAAAACTCAAATCAAGGGTCAGTCTCGAACCTTGCGCATAATATCAACAACACGTGTGTGATCTAACCGCAGAGCAAGCACATTGAGAAGATCGTTGATTATATCAGGGTGCTCTTGCAAGTAGAAGTGGACGGCCTTATAGTAAAGCTCGACATTCGCAACCTTGGCAACAATGTCTTTGAATTGCATGTGCTCCCATGCTTCAGGAGAATGGTTCATGACAGTGGTTGCAGCATTATCAAACTCATCATACTGAATGTATAGATAGGTAAGTTCCTGCCAGTGCTGTTGTTCATCACAGGCCCGTATAAGCTTAGGAATATTGAGGCGGGTCGAGAACAACTTGATGTGTTCCATAAGCTTCTCATAACGATATCTGGCGTACAGTACACCCAACTCGGTGAAGATCCCCATGTGGGCCCGTTCCAGACCAAGTCCACTCTCCATAAGTGAGATTAATTCATTGAAGCATCCTCTGTTCTGGTAGTACTCGCTGACTTCTTCCAGGTCATCCACCTATAAGAGCACAAAAAGATTACCCATGGGATAATAATAATAATATGCAAAATTGGAAAAAAAAAATTACCAAGATCAGGTATTTATTCACCTGTATGATAATGTTAAGTCCACATATTTGGGCCAACCGGAATTCCTCTGCATCAACACAAGCAAAGCAGACTTCCTTCCATGTCTTTGCACTGTTTGCTTTCCTTGCAGCATCAACAGCACCTTGGAACTGTTGCAACTTCACAAGTGTGACGGCTAACTTGGCCCAGTTCGATATGAATGCATAAATTATTTTTGCAGCCTCATACAGAGCTTCGTCATACAGGCGATCGCCGACATTTTGTAGGTTAGCAACGTTTGGCATCAGAATAAATTCTTCAATCTCACCCAACCTTTCAATCTTTGCATAAGCATAGATGAGCTCACTATCAACCTTGGGTTCCTTCACCTTTTGTCTAACCATAAGAAGGTATCTGACCAAGTCATCATAGACATTAGTATCTTCTGAGGCACGAATGACCTCCAGGAAATGAGTGGCATCGTCAGCTCGGATAAAGGACTCGATTGCATCACTGACTAGTCCATCCCTGAGTTGAGCCTTAGCGACTTGGCTCCAAACAGCATCTTCTTCGACCCGGAAAGCAAACTCAACAGCACGCTCAATGCTTCTGACGTTATCCAACAATACGTTGACAGCCTGAACATTCAAGTTAAACTTCTTGAAAATCGCAAATGCTTCCTCATACAATTGGGCATCAACCGCCACTTCTCCAACAGCCGGACCATCAAAATTATCCAGCCTGTTAATGTAATCCATAACTCTAGACGGATCTGCCTTGATAGCTGTCAGTATAAGCAGATTTTGCAGATTGAAGTTTCCACTGAAGGCCGAATTTTGAAGCACAATCTTTTCAAGAAGCTCAATAAGCTCATGCGGCAGATCAGCAGTCATAAATGCTTTAACAGCTGCAGAAACTTGCTCTGGGCTCTTGCTTTCGGGTAACGCAGTAGACACAACTTGGTCAATGAGTTGTCTTCTATATTCATTTTCTTCCGTAAGAACCTTCTCCCAGAGGTCACCATCCATCCTCTCCACTACGTACCTGCAATTGGAAAACCGTGCATAAGTAAACTACAGAGTAACCACTGTGGAATAAGTAAGAAGGTTGGTTAGCAATTATAAACTACCTGGCTTGTAACTTGAACAAAGAGTTCTTGTTGGTGACATTAATGAGTTCCTCGTCACATTGTCCTCTTCTATATGCCACAACAGCCAGGGTGGGATCCCGTTTCTCGCAGTACTTACCCACAACCTTAGAGTCGTAGTAAGGGTTGGTGGTCAGGAAATGCTCAGGGTTGTTGTTACTATCTATGATAATTTTACCCAAGGCATTATGGACATGCACATCTTGGCTTCCCTCACTAACTAAATGCTCCAAGAACTGAGTGAGGAGACGAAGTCGATTTCTGAAAAGACAAATAAATACAAGAAATTTAGGAACAAAGGGGCATACTTATGAACCGCAACCAAGATGACTAAAAGGATTCACACCTCTTCTCACATTCCTCAACAAGGGGTTCAACAGGAAGCAATGAACGAACAGATAGAATGAGGCCTTTGATAAAATCCTCAGGGCATTCATCATCAAGCAACTGCCCAACAACTAAGGGAGCATTCCCAGGGTTCACCTGCAAAAGGAATCACATTATAATTATTTAATTCCAAAAATATCAAACTTACATGCACTAACAGTAGTCCTAATAAAATCCATACCTTCTGAACGTAACCTTCAATGTAACGAAGCATGTTGTTTGTGTACAGGTAATGAGTAAGATCAGGCACAAAACCGAAACGATCGCAGACATTTATCAACGGTCGGGCATCAGGGAGCTTAGCTTCCATCAAAAAGTTCTTCGTCTTTTCAGCATCATAAAAGTTAGACTCTCTAGTCACACGCTCAACCTCTTTTATTTGACCAGTCTTGGCAGCTGCTTCAATGTACTTGAAGTGAATCTCAGGATCCTCACTATCGCACAGAGGGAAAATATTGTATATCATCAGATTACAAATACAAGGACTGTGATGTTCTTATTACGGGAATGACAGTAGATTCTTGGTAAATCACCTCATACTCAAATATGAACCTAGGAAAAAGTATAGCCCTTCGTATGACTTGAACTGCTCAAAGAGTTTAATGCATGACTCAACACCAAGTTGCTCACAGTACTCCTTGCAAGCCTGCAATGATATGGACACGTTAGTGTCACATTAAACAATAAAATCCATATAATACCACAACACATGAATTACCTGAACGATTATCTGAAGGTTGCCTCTCAGGTTGACTAGCAGAAGATCCTTCATGCACTCCATAGCCCATTCGCTAGAAAGAGTACCGAAAAACTCAACAAGAGCCTGCATATTGGGCAGAGAGATATTCAACAACTCAGCCATCCAGGAGTTTAGCAACCAAAATTTAGTTCAGAGGTATTACCTGTGGCTCAATAGCATGTGTGTTCACAATTACACGTTTAATATCAGGTAACTCTGAGTAATGCTGCACAAAGCAAAAGAAAAGTCAGAGATGAAAACATAATACGTATATTAGGCCAACAAAAAAAAGTAAATAATAAGCAACAACCTTTAAAGATTGGACATAAAGTCCAGCCTTTTCACAGAGCTGAGCAACACGAGGGCGGTCATAGTGGCTGAACATCCCGTTTGCTAAAATTGCATCAGCCACATTAGGAAATGTTACCAAATTGATCTCCAGAACCTGACTTGACAGTGGACTTAAAGGTCTGAGAAAGGAAGATGAAAAGGGAAAGCATAGACAGATACAAGGTGGCAACTATTTTCAACCTTAGTTTGCAGAAAAGCATGCTCAGGTAAATTTGGCTTCAGAACATCCAGGAGGAAAGCAGTCGCTTCACGGATCAGATTTCTCTGCATATGCACAAATAAGTAAATTAGAACATGATAACTCTCATGTATGAGCTACGAATATTGTTGTATACACTATTCCATACTTGTTCACCTACCTGAAGAAAAAGATCAGTGATAGTGTTGTAGTCAACTGGACAACCTCCTTCCATTTGGGACATCATTAAAGCAAAATTCACTGCTCCCTGCATAATAAACAACGTCAGGTTAGAATTATCAATAAGAAGTTAATCAGTTCATGACTCTTCTTGTGCTTACGCAGCAAGCATTCAGTCAACCAGTCCTCTCATAGTTTTATATGTTGCTAGTATCAAAAAAGCACCACACTAACCTGAGGATCCGTACGGAGTATGGTTTGCAGAAGAAACATGTAATCAGGTGTGTACCCAACCTAAAGTCACAAAATGAACAATGGTACTTCTTGAGAAAAATTATCTTCCGGGTAACCATAACAGGGGAGGGGCAAACTTTAAAACTTATTGTTTACCTGCTTTGAGTAAATCAGTATTTTGTCAAACTCCCTTCGCTCTGCAAAAGCTGCTACAACTTTTGGTGTAGCTCGAGCTTTGATGTATATTTTCAGAGCAAGGTCATTGTCCACAGTCTGGAACAGAAAAGATTATCGTTACCACATACTAAAGGAGAAATATGCGACATTTTAAAGGACAATGGTCAATTTTAAGATTACCTTGACAAGGTCTCCAAGTTCTTCACTGCATTCTAATTTATCCTCTGCCAACCAGTTTTCCAAGAGGTTCTTCTTGTTTTGATTCACAACAAGCCGAGATAGTTCCAAAGACTCATATGTATTGAGCTTCCCTCTAGTCAAAAGGGTCCCAAAATACTGTAACAATGGAGGAGTTTGCCCTGCTTGGACAGGAACGCTCTGCAAAATTGTATAGTGTGATGATGTAGTTTTAGATTGGTGTTACCTACATCTAATAGTATATAGCATGTTCACTGAGGATTACTTGCTGAATATGGAACAAATACCTGGAATTTAGCCACCGTATCAGGTGTCCGTAGAATCCCCTGGGGAGATTCAGCAGCAAGCTCAGCAGCCTCCTTGTACTTTGTTTGAGCAAATAAATCTTGGAAACGCTGGACAACCTGCAACATCCAAACTGAAAATGAGAAACTTCACATCATTGAATGACTTTCTTTTTTCGTCGAGCTGGCATTCATCAATCATAATTACTTCAGCACGAGAACAGATCCACACATCTGATCCAAGGTAAATATCACATACCAGATTATCTGCACCAGGGAGGTTTCCTCTTTTAGCAAGATTGATAGCAAGTTCCAAATTGTTCAACTGTGATACAAAAGCATAGAATTCTTAGCATGTCATGATGAACTGGATAGATTGTATTTAGAAAAACAGAAAGGAAAAAAAATGTTAAACATACTTGACCACTAATAAATGGTATTATTGTAGCCTCATTTACTGTAGCCAAAAGAACTTGTCCTCTCCTATTAATGGCATAGAAACCCCCAACTGAGGAAGCTTCAGAAGTCAAGAAAATTGGGTCTGGACTTATCCGATTTCTGTAGATAGCAGAAGCTGTCTCTAAGTCGTAAACAAACAACAGGCCAAGCTTGGTGATGACATATATCAAGTTAAATTTGTGAGAGACCTGTCGAGAAAAAAAAATGGTGTCATGAAATTTTCACAGAAACTTACTGAAGTTAATTGAACTTCTAATGCAACTACAAACCTGCATGGCTACAGGAAAATCATCAGCAAAGTCTGGGGGGAAAAAGAGATCTGCCTGCTTCTTTGTAAATGATGGTTTTCCTGCAAAAAACAAAATTCCCATCTTTAGACATCAGATGATAACCAACTCAAAATGTAACAAAAAGACGCTAATAACCCTGAAAATATAGAGCAGCTGAGGAAGCTAACCTGGTTGGGCACCAAGCTCAATGACATGCAGCTTTGATGTTATCTGCCCAGCATTAAAGCTCTTGCTTGCAAAGGATATAAGAATAGAAGGATTCTCATTCCCAGGGACCTATCATTTAGTAATGCTGCTTGTCATACTACAGTTCAAGATCAGACAACAGAATGAACTCACAAAACTGCAACATAGTTTACCTTAAATTGAGCAAATGAAGCAGCATGTGCTTCAAGGGCCTGGCTCCGCTGTTGATCCACAGAGAAAAGCTGCATATTCCCTTTTACCAATTGTGTTCTCTACAGAATATAATAATGAGAAGATCCAGTCAAGAATATATCCCATTATGATAGCTTCATTAACCCTAATATGTGGCGCAGTAACCCTACCTCGGGAGATCCAGGAGCAATTCCAATCAATACCAACCACTTCTCATTAGGAGAGCACTTATAGTTAATAATTTGATTGTTTGCCAAATTGGCCGTTCTATCAAACATCTTAACTGGCTCAGAATCACCTGGAAATATCGGAGCAAAATGAGAAACAACATGTGCATGATACAAAAAAGGATGACAGTAAGTTAATAATATGAAACCTTCAATTGACCAATGATACACGGAAGCTTGTGTGACCAGCCCCAACATCTTTGGTGAAATCCATTTCCAAAAAGCAACCTATAAAAAATGGGTGGTTAATATCCAAAAATAAAATTTAGACTAGTAAAATCCGAGTCTGAATGAAGTGTACAAAATGAAAAATAATCAAGATACAAAGAGTTTGTTTCAATAATCACCTGCTCAGCCATTTGATGTGATTTCAACTTTGCTTTTGCTTCGATGTTAAATATCTGTAGATGATCCTGAGTGGTTCCTGGAACTTGAGCTAGATACAAATTAAAAGAAAAAAATGAGCAACGAAGGACAAAATAAGTAATAGCCAATGTAAGGAAACATCCACGACAAACTTAATTGAACAACAGGAAACAACCCCGAGAAATATAACACATGTCAGAAAACATAGAACTTTACACTGATGTCTGCATTAAACATACTATCCTACCCAAGTCGAGAACAAGAGCATAGGACCGAAACATATGAGTGTAGAGATACTTTTCCATACTGGTTTAATATAACAGGTTTCCTATCAAATGATGCACCACAATGGGCAAGTATGAATGACATGGATTTATGATTTTATCCAATATGAAGCCATAAATTAAAGTTGAGAGCGATAAAAACCGAAAGTATCCTATCCATAATAGATAGTATACGTTGTTAACGAAATGACGTAGGAGTTATCAGTGATACTTCCATAAAACATACCTCAAAAGGAAACTATTCTAGGTTTTCTAACGATAAGCATGACGTAATTTAGTAATAGAAGGAAACAGTTAAATACCTTTTAAGGCAAGGATCCTCGAGTTCGGGTTCATAAGAGCAGAATCTGCAGTGATAGGCCTCCTCAAAGGCTGCATCGGCATATTCATATCTATAATTACAACACTGTTCTGCGGTGCCGTCTCTCGTACACAAATGTACTTGTCAGACTCCATAGTAACATTTGTAAACGTGATAAATTGCTGATTGATCCCAACGCTCGGAAGCTGAAATTTTTCAAAACAAAGCGTCATATCACATCGTTCATTAACTCAATTACGAGATCCAATTAAATAAGCACAATGGACTACACAAAAAAACTTCAAATTTCGAGCTAGATATATTCAGGGTACACAGATCTGAGCGTATTCAGGGAAATCTGATCAGAGACATGCATTACACAAACTATCCATCCAGAAAAATTAACGATCGAGCAGAATTCAAAACAGTATGAAACTGGAATCAATCATATAACAGTTGGAGAAGAACCAAATCATCAAAAACCACAACAACAGAAACATATTTATCGTCCAGAATTAAGCTCGATTCCATGAGAAAACACACATATGCTTCTAAAAATGGAGACGGGAAGGAGAAGGAGAACTCACCGTTAGGACCTCCTTCATCGTGATGGGTGCGTTAGCTGCCGCCATGTTTGACCTCAGATCGCGGCAAGATAATCCGGGGTCAGAATCAGATCCACGGCGGAGACGGGACCGTCAACGGCCAGGGGAGAGAGAGAGGAGCGATGCGAGAGAAACTGAAGAAGATTTGAGAAATCGCAGCCAGATCTGAGGCAAGTGAAGAAGAAAGTTGATGGAGGAGGAGAGAGATAGTTTTTATTTTTTTCTTTGGTAGTGAGAAATGACGAACAGCGATCCAATCGGAGTCACTCGTCGAATATAAGGGAGAGATCGAAAGGAGACGACGTGCTACAAGTGCCTGAGCTGTACGATGTGCTTTTGCAAATTAAACGGGTCGGATCGGCCGGGTCGGGTTTGATCCGGCCCAATCCATTGTCGGGTTTTCTCCACGAAACATATATATTGCCTTTGTGAATTTTATGCATTATTAGTTGGCTAATGACCTAATTTCATTATGTAAAGTTTAATGCGTAAAACGTGATAATTAACATGATCTTGACAGGT